CCTCTTGTCTTAGGGTTCTTCAGAAAAGCAGAACCATTAAGATATATGTACATAAAGATATGCATTATAAGGGATTAATTCACATGATTGTGGAGCCTGGCAGGTCCCAGTATCTGCAGATTTGGCTGACTGAAGACCCAGGAGACCTGATGTTTCAATGTGTATCTGAAGGCAAGAGAGAAGCTGATGTCCCAATTCAAAGGCAGGGAGGCAGAAGGGATTCTTTTTCACTTAGGAGAGAGTCAGCTTTTTTCTTCTATTCAGGCTTTCAACCAGTTGGACCAAGTCCATTTATGTTAGGGAGAGCAATCTGCTTTACTCAGTTTACCGATTAGAATGTTAATCTCATCCAAAAACAACCTCACAGATACACCCACAATAATGTTTCACCAAATATCTGAGCACCTGTGGTCCAGTCAAGTTGACACATAAAACTAACCGTCATATCTCTGTAGTAGGTTCCATGACCATTCTGCTTTTTAGATGGGGCAAAAGAGAGAGGTGATGTAACTTCCTTGTCAGGTACAATGAATAGATGGCAGAGACTCTGCTCTAACCCAGGTCTGACTGGCCAAAGCATTGTGCTTAAAAAAGAAAACAGGATTTGGAATTTAGACAAACCTTGGTTTTTTCTTTTTGTTTTTTTTTTTTAATGTTTTATTTATTTCTAGGAGAGAGAGAGAGAGACAGCGTGAGCAGGGGAGGGTCAGAGAGAGAGGGAGTCACAGACTGAAACAGGCTCCAGGCTCTGAGCTGGCAGTCAGCACAGAGCCCGACGCGGGGCTCGAACCCACGAACCGCGAGATCATGACCTAAGCGAAAGTCGGACGCTTAACCGACTAAGCCACCCAAGCGCCCCTCAAACCTTGGTTTTTTATGAGAAGTAAATTTTTTAAAAAAAATGAATATAAAAGCACACATTACTGTGCTTTGCATACAGATGCATTATATATAACTAACATTATTAGTATTAGTACTACTACTACAACTATGATTATTATTATTTTAGACAGAGAGAGAGAGAGAGCATGAGCATGGCAGAGGGGCAGATAGAGAGAATCTTAAGCAGGTTCCACACTAGCATAGAGCCCAACACGGGACTGGATCCCATGAACCTGGAATTACTATATTAGCTGAAATCAAGAGTTAGATACTCAACCAACTGAGCCACCCAAGTGCCCCTATTATTAAAAGAATTATTATTATGAACAAACCTTTGTCCGCAGAATACTAAGTAGTGAGAATGCCAAAATGTACTTTAAATGAAGATATATTTGACCAAATATTATTCTCTATTCTTTTCTTTGGTTTTGTGATATAAAGATAAAAAATTGCAAGTCACTAGATAGTTAATTTCTCCAACATATCTTGCAAAAATAATATTACTTTTGGCAGAGATATACCTTATTCCTGCTGATGTCATTAGAAAATGGCAAGGTCAACCAAAATGAGAATTTGACAGCATCTCTGTCTTTCCAGTTTTTAATAAGTATTGTCAAAAAAAATAATAATCAGATTTGAACTTGTTTGTCCTTGATGTGCCTTTTTTAAAAGGCCTCCTGGCAAATCTAATGTAAGATCAAAAGCAGCTGCGAAAGAGTAGAAATCACTTGAATATACTTCCTTACTTTATTCTATTGGATAAAAATAAAATACTTACTCACTTTCAGTGACTCAGGCACTGGGAAATTTGCCTCCTTCTTTTCCTAGGGTGTGGGGACCATTGCTAAAGGGAGCTCTAAGGAGGTAATCAACCAGATTTTCCAAAATGTAAATAAAATATAGCCTTCTAGGGAATAAATGGCTTTTAAAGACTTTGTCCCCCAGGCCCCTCATCTCATTTCTAGGCCAAAACTCCAGGCAAAATTGTGGAAATAGTTATATATTTTTTTCTTCTGTCATGAGGCCTCCCATCTCTCATCTAAAATCCTCATGTTCTTTCATCTCCACATTTTGTATTCTCCACATTCTCAAAGGATGTGATAAACTCACAGCCATTGAGATACAATGACTTATAAGAATTATTGTGCTCTTTTTATGGATCCCCTTTAGATAACCAGCTTTGTAATGTAAAAAGCTTTAATTTTAGGCATCAGTGAGATTGAGGTGACATTTACTACAATCACAGGGACCTCGCTGGAGTTGCTGAAATCACAACACACAGAAAACAGGCCCTCTCTGGTTTCCTAGACATTAAGTGCTGCATTGCTGTTTTCTTACCTTGTCTCTAATTAGCACTCATCACAGTACTAATCTCCTTTACCTGATTCCTACTAGTCCTTTCCTCATTCTGTCTCTGTACAGTGTGTCAGTGCTGTTGTGTCCATTCAGAATGCTTTCATCTCTCCTCTTGGGCAACCCAGGCCCCTTACTTCAAATGAGCTCTGCTTAATCAAAATTCTTCATTGAAGGTATAATGTTTAACTGAGGAAACAAGTCATCCTCAAAAGAAGCAACTATGAAAGGGTACGAGACAATATACAGCCAGTATCCATTTGTGCATGTGCTGATGATAAATTCATGAGTAAACATCGTCCTGACCCACAAGGAACTTACCTTCTTGTGAGGGACACAAGATAAACATAAAAGTAACACACAGTGAAGACGATACAGTAGTGGCAACAGACATGGGGCATTATGGGAGCAGAAAGGAAGGTACCCATCTGTGAGGGTTTATTGTTGTCACCTGGGTAGCCCTCAGAAACTGCATTATCTCAGGAGTTGTGCCACACAATTGTCATGTGGTTTAGTGCCTCTAACTTTGCCAAGTAACTACTTTATCACAGGGGAAAAAGAGAAACATTTTAGTGTAGTAGGACCAATGAACACACACATCAGAAGGAATGTTTCCAGCAAAGGACAATAGTCAGACCATGAGCACTGTTAGATTCTGGTAGCTCTTCCTCTCACTGACTCACACTGAAGGATGGGACTGCTGAGTCACTTTCCTGATCACACACATCCAGCTTCCTTCCCCTGCTGTGGAAAGATGCTCACTGCAGATTATCTCATGCTAGTGAGCCAGATCCTCCCAACCATAAAACAAGCTGCATTTGATACATGTTTGCCTGTAGTAACAACCGTACGAAGGGTGTTTAAACTCCTAAGGCAATGGGAGATTATAGAGAACAGTGATTAAGAACCAGCCTGCTTAGGTTGACTCCAGACTTCACTAATAGTTTGATCATGGGAAAGAGCCTTAAACTCTTGTTGCCTCAGTTTCCTAGTCTATACAATGGGAAGAATAACAATAGCATTACCTCACGGGACTGATATTAGAATTAAACAAGACAGGATTAAACAATTCAGTTTGCACCTGAAACCTAGTGTTTTACATTTACATTTACATTTACATTTGTTACTGCTGTAACAAATCGCCTCAAACTTCCTGGCTTAAAACAACAGAGATTTATCATATCACAATTCTGGGGGCTAGAAATCAGAAATTAATGTGTCAGCAGGGCTATTTTACCTCTGAAGGCTTTAAAGAACAATCATTCGTTGCCTCTTATGATGGCTTCTGGCAATCCTTGGTGTTGCTTGGCTTGTGGACACATCACTTCAATCTCTGTCTCTGCCATTCCATGTTGTTCTCCTTGTGTGTCTCTCTGTGTCTTCACATGGCCTTCTGATATAGATATAAGTAATTAGATTTAGCAGTCACCTCAATCCAGTATGACTTCATCTTAATTTAACTAATTACATCTGCAAAGACCTTATTTCCAAATAAAGTTATGTTCACGGGTTCCAAGTAGACATGAATTTTGGAAGAACACTATTCAACCCAAAATATCTAGTAAGTATGCAATAAATGTTAGGTAAAGCACACTCACTCATTTTACCACATACCCCCACAAACATAAAACACTCACACACACAGAGGGGATTCTGTGAAGTTGGTGGTTTTAATATAACCTTACTTTTACTCTTTATTCTCAACTCTAGTGTCTATTTCCAAATCAAATGATTGGGGGCTTTCCAGAGAGCTCTGAGGGTGGGCATGTAGTTGTTGGAGACAACTGATGCTGGAATATCTTCCCTCTGGGTTAGTCCAAGGGGAAAATCGATACCAGGTTCCATAGTTTCCCTGAATCTGGAGAAGCTGAGGAGTAGCTAAAAAGATGGGCTGTATCCCCTCTATTCCAGAGAATCAGTAAGTGAGAGGAAATTGGGTGCAGAACTGATGAATGGAGCATGACAGCCTGCCTGCTGCACCTAAAAGAGCAGAGACCAGACCTTTGGTCTTATTTTCAGACCTTTGGCCATGTAAGGTGCCCTAGCAGCTGCTTCTGAGCCCTAATAAGAAGGAAAAGGAAAAAAAGAAGGCACATCACGGGCCCAGGTAGAGAGAAGAGGACTAAGTATGACTTTCGAAATGAACTGCTATTGAAATATAGCTTTTGGAGAAGATAAAGGATAACAGGAATAACAAAATGAAAAGAACACTCAAAGATATACAAAGATAGCACACAACAGACTGTCTGGAACTAAAACATGGCTTATAAATGAAAACATTCAGTAGATGAAAAAGAGCATTGCCCCAGTCAGGAGCTGTATATTGGTCTGAAAGATTAAATTTATCAAGACACAGAGCAGATTTTCAAAGAGATGGAAATCATGATGGATAAGTGAACAGACTTTGAGGAAAGATTTATGAAAAACCTAAAATGAGAATTATAGGAATTCCAATTAAAGCAAAAACAAACAAACAAAAAACCAAACAGGGATGAGAGAGCTGAAGAAAGCCCTGACTGTAGTTTGGAAGTGCATATCTGTGACTACACCCCACCTAAGGAAAATACATGAGAAAGGACACAAAGCAAGCAAAGGAACCCAGAGACTTTAACATAAGAGAAAATGAAAGAGAAATTAAAGTGTTTAGGAAAAAGGAGGCTTAACTATAGCTATAAAGGACTCTATAGATACAATAGAAAGAATACTATGTGCAACTTTTTGGCAATACAGTAGTCCCTCCTTATCTGTGACTTTATCTTCTGCAGTTTCAGTTATCCCTGGTCAACCATTGTCTGGAAGCAAATGATCCTCCTTCTGTAATCAGAAGGCCAATGGTAGCCTAATGCATTGTCACAATTCCTCCATCAAGCACCTCACTTCATCTCATCAAGAAGGGTGAGTACACTACAATAAGGTATTTTGAGAGAGAAAGAGAAAGAGACCTCATTTGTATAACTTTTATTACAGTATACTTTATAATTGTTATATTTATTAGTTATTATGAATCTCTTACTGTGTCTAATTCATAAATGAGACTTATCATAGGTATGTGTGTATAAGAAAAAAATACTATATGTAGTGTTTGGTACTATGTACAACTTGAGATGTCCACTGGAGGTCTTAGAACATATCCTCTGCAGATAAGGAGGGACTACTGTAAATATGAAAACCTAGTGGAAATAGATGTTTTTCTAGTAAAATACAAATGATCAAAGTTGGCATAAGAAGAAGTGGACAATTTGAATAGACCAATGCCTGTAACAGACATTGGAAATATGACTAAAGATCAGCTGCTTAAAAAGATAATGGAATCAGAAAGCTTCTCAGCTGAATTTTGTGTAACTTTTAAAGAACAAATACTTCAAGTATTTTAAAATAATTCCAGTCATAGAAAAGGATAGAAAATATCCAAATTCATTTTATAGTCTCAATTTATTTCGAGTACTGCTTACCTTTGATACTCAAACCTAAAAACAAATAGTAAAAGCAGAGAGAGAGACAGAGACAGAGAGAGAGAGATAGACTGACATAGTCCCTTCTATGGTAGATGAATGGATGGATGGACAGATGGATGGATAAATAAATTTTTTACTGCTTTCTGAAAAACAGTAAGATACTTATTACTCAGCTCATTAGTGTTTATTTTTATTTTTAGTATAAATTAATTTAATATAAATGTCATACTACTGCTTTAAAAATCCTTCATTTGCTCTTCATTGTACTTACATACATATGTACAAACATACATATGTATGTTTTATAAAAAGATCATAGAATATTTCTTTAATTTTGTAAGTCATTTAGTAGTTATAGGGATATAAGATTTTCTACCTTTTTATTTTTATTATTTTTTATTATTTTTATTTTTAAATTTAATTATTTATTATTATTTTTAAATTTATTATTTTTAAAAACACCTATGTGACATTTACCTTGAACCACACTGTGCCAAGTGCTTTACATTCATTAATGCATTCAGTCCCATAATAATCCCCTGAGATTTTGCACCATCAGAGCTTCTGTTTTAAAGACAAGGAAACTGAGATTTGGAGGGAATGAACAACTTGCACAAGTCTGCAGAGGAGCCGGGCTCTTCAAGCTGACATCTTATTGTTTATGTGTCTGATCTCCCGGGCTAGAGTCGAAGGTCCTTGGAAAGAGACTATCTTATTTTGTGTTCCACATGGCACCATCACAGTTCTTCGAGCATATCAAAGTACTAAGTAAGGATTTGTTGAAATTAATTGGCTGAGTGGCACTTATTGTTTGTTTTAAGTTAGGGAAAACTTGGGCACATTTCAAGGTATCAAATATGGGCCAATGTAGTTATTGAAGATGCCACAGAGGGATGTATTAATGGATCATAATCAATTCATCGATAAGTTTATTGACCATCTTTTTCCTGCCTAGTAGATAGAACGACGAAGTAGCACAGAGCTTATGGGAAAGTGTAAGCTTCTGAGAAAGATGGACAGATCACAGGGACAAATAGACAAGGAGAGATGAACCAGAATGGATATGTAGAGTTAAACAAGAGAGGAGCTAAGTGCCTGCCCAATCTCTTATCAGAGTTCAGAGGAAACAATTGGAGAAATATTTTCTAGACTGTCAGACTTTATCTTTGCAATTTAGTAAAAACAGCAGCTGAAAAATCCAGCTGCTAACATGACTTTCATTTACAGTTGAGGTCTGGGGACAGGAATTGGTTTGAATAAGGCCCTTGTTTTATTGGAACAACTGGGTTGTTCCATATTGGAGTTCATTGGTAGGTCATATGCTGATAAATTAGCCAGTTCCCCAAACTTTAAATGATTGCTACTCTAGAAATTGAAAAAGAAGTAGATTTGGAAATGGTATGAAAACTAAAAGTGAAAAATACCATGTGTCAGTTTTCAGATAAGCATGACTGTCCATTAGCTCCCCTGGTCATTTAGTGAGGCTGAGCAATTGCCCACAAAGCTTTCTGTGCAGGGGCTGTGGAGAAGAGAGCTGAACGTTCTATGTGGTTGAATAAGCTGAAGAGTAGAATGCCCATTGTCTATGTGCCCCAAGATCATCTGCAATGTCCAGTTTTCCACTTGACCACACAGGAAATGGGTTGGCTATAAGTTATTGTTTCAGTGTCAGCAGATAAAGTTATCATGGGGCATATTTCTTTTATACTGGGTAGAGGCTTTTTTAAATATTTGCATAGTATATTTCTTTTTTTCCCAGTGAATGCTGGAACCGTGGAATTACACCCTCCCTCTATTTAGCCTTTTCTTTTCTTTCTTTTTTAGAACATTTCAGATTCCTTGGTGCATTTGGAGAGTCCTAATATCCTAATCTAGCCACGGTACAATGATTTTCACTTATAAAATAAAGTTGCACCCATAGCACCTAATTAAACTCTCTTTTAAATGAAATTGGTGGTTACAAAAATCAACCCTCCAAATAATAAAAGTATATATTTTCTATATATGTAATAACTAACATGTATTTAAAAAATTACAGTTCACAGTGCCTATTTATACATGTTTTAATCAACTATCATTTCAATTCTGTGAAGTAGGTGTTATTGTCTTTTCTACTTTAAAAATAAGAATTGGATGTCAGGGGGCGCCTGGGTGGCTTAGTCGGTTAAGCGTCCGACTTTCGCTTAGGTCATGATCTCACGGTTCGTGGGTTCGAGCCCCGCATCGGGCTCTGTGCTGACTGCCAGCTTGGAGCCTGGAGCCTGTTTCAGTCTGTGACTCCCTCTCTCTCTGACCCTCCCCCGTTCACGCTGTCTGTCTCTCTCTCTCCTAGAAATAAATAAAACATTAAAAAAAAAAAAAAAGAATTGGATGTCAGAAAGAATAAATGACTTGCCCATGATCACAGACCAGTAACTGCTGGAAATGGAACAAATGGCCATTTTTTTTTTTACATTCTAAATTCTTTTTTGTCTTCAGAGGAAGAAATCTGTATTGATTCACTCACTGTTCATTTACTCAAACATTCACCAAATATTTATGAACACTGTGTTGGCTCTTGAAATGCTTCTGTTAGGAAAAATACTGAAAGTGATGGGGTATAATGGGGGTGGTCAGGGAAATCTTTCTGAAAGAGATGATGTTTAAGAGGAGACATCCTCTTAGAATAAATAAGTAGGCATTTATGGTGGGGAATGGGGAACAGTATTCTGAACTGAGGGAACAGCATGTACAAAGGTCCTGAGTTAGGACAAATCATGGTTTAGAAGGTGAATATTAAATAGTGGCCTATTTAGGCATTAGCTCAAACACTGAGTGTTGGAGAGTTAAGGGAAACCTAACCATGCTTAGGACAGTTTTTGAAGGTTTCTAAGGTGGGAAGTGGTGTGCTATTTTTACCACTTCAGAAAGGTCACTCTGGCAGGAGCTTTGGGAATGGATGGGAGAGAAAATAAAGCTAGCATAAGGAAATCCAGTTAAGGGATGATGAAAAAGGTGATGAATGACTGAGGCCTGAAGTGCTGCCTGGTGGCCACATCTGGTCACCTGGGTAACTGTGGCAATTCCATTTGGTGAATGAAAGACAGGCCTGCCTGAGTACTGTCTAAGGCTAGCTAAGCAACGGAAGGACCCCAGGTACTTAAAACAATGATGGCAATGACTACAGGGCCCCAGTTCTGCAAATTCTACTCGGTTGCCAGGCCAGTTAACTTGTTCTGTCTCTGAATTGATTTACCCTCTCCAGATACACATAAATTCACTCTATTTAAAAAAAAAATAATGTTTGTTTATTTTTGAGAGAGAGGCAGAGATAAAGTGCAAGTAGGGGAGGGGCAGAGAGAGAGGAAGACACAGAATTTGAAACAGGTTCCAGGCTCTGAGCTGTCAGCACAGAGCCTGACGTGGGGCTTGAACTCACAAACGGAATCTTGAGATCATGACCTGAGCTGAAGTTGGACCCTTAACTGACAAAGCCATCCAGGCGCCCCCAGAAATTCACTACTTGATGGTATTTTGCCCTCCTTAGTTAAAAGCATGCTACTGATATGCAGTAGACATCATAGCCACTCTAACTCGTTTTATTTGAGTTGTAGTTATCTGAGGATTAGAAAGATATTGATTCATGTCATGTTCTGTGTCTTGGATTTTCATCTAATCAAAACATTGCCAAAACATTGTCTTCTAAATGTGAAATTACTCAGTGAATAAATCATAATGTAAAGCTTTCAGGCAAGCCATGCTTAGAAATGAAATTTAAGTAGGAGAAATTACAAAAGGAATAGGGCATACGATTGCTATTCTGAAGATAATCATTTACACTTTCCTGGTAGTTGGTGGTGGGGTAGCAAGATGGCAAATAGAAGGGAAATGCAAATGGGGAGAGTCTACTCAATTAACTAGGGTATCATTTGCTGCTCTTCACAGAGGATAAAATCTAACCTCCTTAGAATGGCCTTTCAGGATTCTTGCCAGCAAGCTGAGTTCCTCTTCCTGGATCACTCTCTTCTTATTTATCTATGGGTCAATTTCCTTTTGACATTACCAGTCTTTGCTAAACATTACTTCCTTTCTGATGGCTTTTCTGCCTCCCTCCATTCCCCCCACCAACTTCTTTTCTTCCTCTGCATTTCCATTATACCTTGTCTGCACTTCCCATTCCAGCATTTGAATGTTATGGATGTAGAGACGGTCTTTCCTCATTTATTCTCAGTCCCATATTTATCAATTTTCCTGCTTGCTAAAATGTATCTATAATCCGCAAGTCAATACTTGTGGACCTTTCATGGTCACTTGTGGGTATATTAACATAAGCAAAAAAATTGAGCTGCTTCATTGTGAATGTTTCCAACTGAGATTACACAAGCAATGCTCTACCTTCTTGTTTCAGCTCTCATACTGTGAACAAGTGTCCTTT